AAAGAGTACTTTACAATGACTTCAGGTTTATAATGTGTTTGTGCTTCCAGAAGGAAAGCTGGCATGGTCATTTGGTGAATCAAGATTCAACAAATGTACATGCGAATGTCTGTGGGGGTATTGCTTCCAATCTTCCATCCATCATACTGTAACACACTGTTTTCGCTGGTTTGGGATCTGCAGAGTGTCAGTCACACCACGCTGTTTGGCCAACTTGCTACTCTCTTTGCTGTAATTTGTACAGCAATAGTTTATTGAAATGAACTTTTGCTTAATCTTTGAAAATAATTGTTCCTCCATTTACAACAACAAAGATTAGTTCATTTTTAAACTAATGCAGTTAGTCAGCAGAGAACTTTATATTGGTTTTTTTTTCTATTTGAATTTCATCTAGTTTAAGAAAAAAATGTCTATTTTAAGATTACAGAAGCATTAGAAAGAGTAAAGCAGGAAACGGAAGAGAAAGGAAGCAGTATGACTGATGGTGGTAAGTATGCTTTTGCCTCAAACCAAACACCCATTTCCTCAGTGACAGTTACATAACTTGGCCTTTGTAAAAGAAAAAACAAAACTAGACCACAGTGAGTGACTAGCCTGAAATAGCAATATTAAAATGGTAAAAGGTGTTTAAGACAATCAGGAGTCTAAATCTCTTTGAAAAGGTTTCATAAGCCTTCAGAAGGTAGAGATGCCAGGATCTCCCCCTTTGGTAAATTATTTGTAAACACTGGAAGAAAGAACAAGGGGTTTGTCTCTGCTTGGAATAGTTATTTGAAGAGTTATCAACCCGCTGGGAGAAATGATCACATTACAGGTTCAAGCCCTTTTGCTCTAAAATAGTTACTGGCAGTAGCTGTTAGATTCCCTGACTGTGGCTGGCTGGAGTCAGTGAGAAAACTCATTTTGGTGTCTTGATATTTAGACTTATTTAATATTTAAACTGCATAACATTTGTTTCAGGCTCGGGATTTGGTTGTTTGAGGGGGTTTGCTGGTAAATGCATTCTGTTGCAAACGTTGAAGGAGTATGAATGCAGAAATAAATTGATGCATATTACAGTAGGGCTAAATATGCAAGCTGTATCCATATTTAACTGTAACCATTACAGTTAATTTAGTTAAGTAGTTGTAAGTGTTATCGTTTAAGGAAATTTAGTGCACCCTTGCTTCACTGCAAAGGAGCTGCCTGCCTGCCTCGCAATATCTTTTCTGTATTATGGCATGGCCGAGGGGTCAGGATAACATCTAAGGAGGACTATGATACAGCAGCAGCATCCCTCTGGTGATATTAGTGGGAAGTGAGGGATGAGAAACAAAGTATGGAGCACAACCCAGTTTAACAGCTTATCACAGGTAAGTTGTGAATGTGACTTCAGTTCTCTACCAAACCCTAAGTCAGGTATCAGCATGAAGCTTTCAGCTGAGCAAAACACATCATTGACAAACCTATCTCAATGTTGATGCATGTCTTTATGCAGATCTTAGATGTCAAGAAGACAGCAAAATTGTCATCGCCTATTTCTACCTTTAAAGCATCTTGCACATTAAAAATGACGTATCAGTTCAACCATGTCTTTGGAGAAGAATGCCCTTTTGTTCCTTCAGCTCTTCAATTTGAAGGTGTAAATTGTAGAAAATAATGCTTTTGTGTGAAGTAGCTGGCAGAACTGCCCTGTTTATATATATGTGTTTCTTTTTCAACAGCTCCTCTAGTGAAGATTAAACAGGCCTTAACAAAACTGAAGCAAGAAACCATTCATATGGACATACAAATTGGTGTGATGGAACACACATTACTCCAGTCAAAGCTGAAAGAGAAATCCAATATGGCTAGAGATATGCATGCAGCGATGATTCCTGAAGCCACAGTAGGTGCCTATTAAAGTTGTTTGGAGCTGATGTGGTTTGCCCAAAATACAATTTTTCTACTGTTTGATAATTCAGAAGCTTCCTTTTTGTTGGGGGAGGAAAGCTTTCTTTCATGTTTATTTTTCACAAGATGCTTGCCATGCCCTTTTAAGAAGTAATACGCACACTTTGGACTGAACATGGAGCCATTTGTAGCTTCGTGCTGTAAAGATTTACTGCAGATCCCTTCCAAATATGCTAATAAATTCTTATTAATGAACCTCTCTACTTCACTGGAGAATGTTACGTAGTGTGAAAGTCTATAGAATGATACTGACAGCCTGTAATCTTGATACTCTACAGTGCTGAAAGGAAATTGCTTGCAAAGGACTTGAAAGGAATTTTGAGTGTCTGTTACTGTCATTTACATGCATTCAGTATCAAGTATTTAGCTGATATTGAAATAATACAGCATTGCGCTTTCTAAAAGGCTGGGTCAAAATTGCTATCAGTTGCAAATACAAGTAAATTGTTGCTTTGAATTGAAGTAAGTTTATGAATTAAGCAAGAAACTAACTTTTGGATGATACTGGCACGCTCCTAGGGCAGCCCTACACAACTACCCTATTCCTCACTTGGTTTTTGTGAGTTGTCCCCTAGGCAGATTGGTATGGATGGTTTTACTTTTACACTGTCTCTAGCAGAACCAATGATAACACAATCTATGTAAGACCAAAGAATGTGGAAAGCACTGTTTGAAAATTACTGTTGGCTTTATAGTTTTTACCCATGTGACATCATGTCTCAGGATCACTTCGTAAGAGCACTGGGTCAATAGCTGCTTTCATTTATAGTATGTAGTAGAGCTCCGTGGACATTCTTGGATTATTCTTGTTTTCTGTTCTTGAGTCAGAACACCCAATTTTCATCTCTGTTAAGGAAAAATGTTGCCAAATCTGGTTGTGTAATACGGAATGAGAAGTAGGAGGAAGGTGCTGGAAATGGAATGGCAGCAGGGAGCTCCCTTTGTCTTGGTAAATGTGTAGGTAGGGAGTGATTCTAGACATTATTGGTAATGAAGGACCGTGAAACAAAGAAATAACCTTATTCAGCTACTAGTACATCTTTTTGGTTGCCATTGTTCATAAGTCACAGACAATACTGGTACAATTCCAGTGATGTTAAAATCCTCCCCTCCTTCTGTAGGCAGTTCCACTCCCTTTACAAGTAGCTTCTCTCACTAAAGGTGAGTGGTATCTTGCAGAATCGGTGGAGCGGTTCTGTGTCTGAAAGCCAAGACACTTGACACAGTCAGTACCATGAGCCAGTTTCTTAACTTTGCTGTGCATCAGTATTTCAATTGCCAAAAGAAAAAAGCCTATCAGATTTTAATAAGTGAAAAACTGTATGTGAATGTCAACTGTTGTAATTTACCTATGCAAGCAACTGCTGAAAATCTCTATGAATCACAGTGGAAATAGGTTTTCAACTTATTTTGCTGCCTACCTATATCCTCCCACATTCAGCTTAAATTAGAAAAGTTATTATTCATGTTCCCTTTGTTAAGTGGTGTTGCTATTTCATATTTACTTTAACAGTGGGTTTACTTCAACCTAAGATAAAGCAATCTCCTTCTGCATTGCCTGCAAAGCAGCTCGCTCGTGCTTTTTGATTGCAGATGTTGTGCTGCATAAATGCTGTTTATGTAAATACTCGCTCCCAAAACCTACTCCTTCATGCTAATATAACAAACAATTAATCAAAAACCTTCTCTTATGAATTGAGCCTTTTATTCTATTAGAAGTGAATCTGTTGAGACAAGCGTGGCCAGAAACCCTCTAATGGGGTAGAAAAATCTCCGGAAGAAAAGCTGTCCTCCTTTATGCCGGAGTAATTCTAAAATAGTGTGCCAATTTGATGTAATTAATCAACATGAATTTTCACAGTACTCTCTGGAACTGCATTAATCTAAGCAGGACACTTCTGTTATTGTCTCAAGAGTGATACGTGGCCCTTGTTACCTGGCAAAGAATGGTATTTGCCTATTTGGACAGTAAAACTACTTGACCCTGCTTTGAAAGGAGTCTTACTGACCCAGCAAATGGCCACACCATCTTCCTTAAAAGCATGAGGAGAGTAATGAGGTCTGTCACAAGCAGCCTAAAAGGCTGTTCTAAAAAAGCAATGATCTGTGTAATTATTCCACTGCTAGATCAGCACAGGAAGCAGAAGCCACATTAAAATTAAATCACTTGATTCACGTCTTTCATCCATCCTCATTATCTAACGCAATGTCAGAACTGAAAACCAACAAAACAAAGGTGTCCTTACGTTAGTAGGGAGGCATGTGGAGCTGTGCTGTGCTATAGAACAGTCTCTCTTCTTCTGGGGAATATTTGGGACAGATAGGACTATTTGCAGAGTTAACTTTTATATACAGCTGTCCCCTTCCAAGGTCTCTTTTAATGTTTTCAGTCCTCTGAAATACATCAGCGTGGAGGCATGGTGTGACTGCTACGCGTCATCAATAGCAGCTTGCTGTAGACAGAGCCAGAAGTAGCACAGAAGGGACGAGGAGTTTTATGTTTTGAATCTGGTCAGAGAAGCCATGGGGTTTGTCCTTGCCGTGAGGACTGCAATAGTTCAGTCTTATGTGGCCTTAGGGAGAGTGGAGACTTGGCCCTCGGAAACGTGCGGCTGAGGAAGGCTCATCAGTAACCAGCTCACTCTCCTGCATGTGCTCCTCAAAGCTGCAGGAAAGGAACACTAGCAACGTTATTACTTGTTAGGGTTTCTGCAGCTCTGAAATGCCTCTGAACCTCGTAATACAACTCAATGTCTTATTTCCCTGGGCTATCTTATCTCTAGGCTAGGATGTAAAGGATGCAAGTGCCCTGCTAGGAACTGGAAGCAGCCTTAGTGCTTGGAACCCTATCAGAGGTGCTGTTTACAGGCCATTTAGGATGTTTGAGAGTGATGTTATGTGCATTACCATCTAACTTTAATAAATGTAATATTCTAGTCCCCATTCTCTTCTAATGTCAGCAGACGGTATGATTTGCTGAATATTATGTGCTGTGCTGGTAAAAAGTGCAAATTAATGCAGTATTTTTACCTCTTTATCCGGTTCTTGTATAGAGAAAAGTTAGCGACTTAGCACTGAAATTGCAAGAGTTTAATAGTGGCTTTCAATCGTATGTCAAGAATTCAGTATTTTGGTAATGACACAAGTAATCATTTGAGCTTGCATTGATAAGTGCTGCGCAGGAAGGTGAACTAGAAGTTCACATCAATTTGAGAAACCACCAACCGTTACAAACAACTCCTGGATTGGGTCACAATATCCTCACTCTTTGCTGCTGATGGCAATAAAGGCTTTCTTCTTCCCCCACCCGCAAGAGAGGAACTGCAGGGAAAATTCCTTCTTGAAAACAAATGCCCACCTACTATTAAACATTGTCACTTTCACTGGAGCATAGCTCTGCTGTGCACCATGACATACAAGAAAAAATCACTGTACTGCTAATTGTAAGTTACAGTAAGAGCAATTAAGTCATCTCTGCATGACCTATAAAAAAAGACTAGGCATAAATGAAGAGCCTGTATGTGAACATTTCCAGCTTCTGAGCTCTTAGAATTTTGTGTCCAAATTTTTGCAGTCTGGGCTTCTCTCCAAGTCTGACAAATGTTAATTAAAAAAGGAAGAAATTAGTGTGATGCTGTTTCTTTCCACGCTGGCTCTCAGCCTGCTGCCTGAATGTCAATGCTGCAGTGTGCCTTCACAAGGCAGCTGCACGTGCATGCGCACATGAGGTGGCATGCTCCTGCCTGTCACTTGGTCGAAACTAGCAGTCGACTTCAGCAGCATCACAACATGCTTTTGAAGGCCCTGTCCCAGTTCTGCAGTGGCACTGCTTTCCACTTTCTCGTTGATGTATTAACGTTTCAGGAAATGGTTCAGTGGCTTCTGACAAAGGAGTGAAATAAAACATGGGGAAAGCCTGGCCGGTGAGATTAGTACCTGTGAGTTTAAGTAAACAGAGGATATGAACACTGGCTGTTCTGCTATTCATAGGTGGGGAATTTCCACAGGAGGCTCTCAGATTACAAAAGTGCTTTCTGTTTGCCACTTCCTCCTCTCAGTGTATTTCTCTCTTCAGCAAACACCATTACCAGGGCTTTCTCAGGTATTACCTAATACTTCACTGTTGCTCCAGGGCTTGGTGTTGCTGGAAATGTCTGTCTTTCAGCCTCCTAGCCTTACCATTTTGCAAGCAGTTATTCCCAGGGAGGACTGGTATCAGCAGAGTTGAAAGGTTTTTACTTAAGAGTAAATAACAATTTGAGAAACGCCAGTCCTTCACTTACTGGGTAGTTTCACTGCGTTTTTTTTTCACTCCTGGTCTTAAGTAATTACGAGTGGGTGTGTCTGTACTCCATCCCAGAAGAGGCTGAGATACGCTTGTCACTCACATGTCTTAGCTACCTGCTGTAGAAATCAACCAAGATGAATGCTTTAAGGTCAGAAATACAAAATAATTCTTTCGAATGCTGTTCCTCTTGATGGCTCACTAATTCCAATTGTTCATGTAAAACATTTTCCTGTTGCTGTGGCTTTCAAAGGAAAGTACTACAAATGACATCTTGGTCTTACTCAGCAGTAACATGAACAATGAAAACTGTGTACGGTAGGCAGCATTGCTGGTCCATGAGCATTCCACCTCCTTTCAAAGGATCCATTTGGGAAAGACTAGAAGCCAAGAGTCAGGCCAAGGTGCACAGGCTGTTTGTGGATTTTGTCCGGAAACTAGCGCTAAAGAAGTGGTGCTGAAGGTATCAAGAGGTTTGACAGCATCTGTCGATCGTTGCTCCCTTTGTTAAGGGAAGGGCACAAGTTCATAGTATGATGGCAGGAGGGACTTGTGCAGGGTTTGACAAACGCTATCGAACAACAGTAAAACCAGTGAAAACTCAGTGATCTTATGAGTGTCACTCATTGATTTTGTACTAATCTGTCTAGCAGCCATTTCATTACAGCCTTCTGTAGAGTGCCCATATTATACGCTCAAGTAAAACATGCTCAAAGATTTTCATCAGCTTCAGCTGTATCGTACTGGCAATAAAGAAGAAAAGCTAATTGTTCTGAGAAGACTTTGTTCCTGGGGCAGAAAGGTATGCTCAGGTGCAGCAGGTTTAGAGAGGTTTTTTTGCTGTAGGTACTTTAAGCACCATGCTTTAACATTTCTGTTTGAGTAAGAATGTACTTAATACTGGGTTTGGGTTTGTGAGACCTCTGCTGAAAAACAGAATTGCAGGTAACTGTGCAGAGAAGATTAAACAATTGAAAGTCAGATTTTCCTTCAGTTGTGAAGAGGATTGATAGACAGGTAACAATTCAAATAGACAGAATCAAACAGCTTCCTTTAAACAAATCTCTTCCATATTATCTTTGCCTAAATATGGGAAACATGCCTTCTCTTGGTTGTATTCCCTTCCTTGCTTTTTGTTAATCTTCTTCCCTCTCAGGTACACAGCATACTCCTGTGTGATGATGTTTCCCTCCAAACACTTGAAAGCTTGACAACACGATCTGAATATAACTGATGCAGTCAGTCTGTGAGCTGCTGCTAACTTGGGTGGAAGCTCCCTGCTGTGTCTCTGTAGAGTGCCATGTGTAAGCAGCCGCTGCTGGCAGGCCTGCTGACATCAATTAGTGTGAGAGATCAGAAGCAGGAAGCTGGCCCCACCTGACCTGTCATACAAACCATAGTTTCTCTACAGGGTATTTAAGAAGGCCCTGTAGGAGACTGTAGAAGGCCGAGCAGACTGAATTAACTATTACAGTTACATGCAGAAGGCAGCCAAACACCATGGTGCTTGTCACCCTTCTGCTAAAGGTAGCTGATCTCATTGATTGCTCTAATCTGGGGGAGGAAAAAGCAGTGATGAAACCAGGTGGTAACATCTGTGCCCAGAATGAATCGAAGAGCAGAAAATACACAAACTACTCACAAATTCAGGTCTTCTCCTGGTAGACTTGATCTCTTGGGTTTGTTTTGAGGGTCAGGCTCAGTGTTCTTGTGAGCCAGGATTAGTTTTGCTACTTCACTTGTTTTTTTGTGGATCTTCACCACTACTCTCTTCATACGCTGTAACCTTTATGCCTAAAGCCTCAGAACTCTGGATGGATCTGCTTGTCTTTTTGTCTAGAGGAGAAATGTCTCTGTGTTGCAGTTTTCCAAACTCCTTATATTTCAATCACCTGCTTCTGCAAAGGAACTTCGTTCTTATCTGCATCTTGAAGAGCTGTGCTGATACCCAGGTTTCAGAGTAGCTTAACTTGACCTTTATCAGCATAAGGTTTGGCTAGGAGGAGGGAACCTTTCATTTGTAAAACACTACAACAAAAGAAAGGATATTCTGTTCAGGGGTGGCAGAAAAGGAGAAATGAGAGATGATACTGCCACAGGATGTGGCCTTTAGAAGGTTATAGCCTTTAGAAGGTTATAATATTGCCTGTAGGACCCAGCTTTTTATCCTGTGGCCACATATTGTGGGGTGTCTCTGAACACCCACCTTTGCCATTCCTGATTTTAGTAGAGTGACCCCAACCTAAAGCTTTCAGACTATAGCAATGACCAGGACCCACATCATACAGGAAGATCTCTCACTGCACAACAGTAAACTAGTCTGCATCTGGGAAGAAGCAAGGCATTTAGTTTTTAGTTACGGAGAATACAAATACCAGTTTATCAGAGTGAGGGACCTTCTGATAAGTGGAAGATAGAGCTTTGCTGTGATGCAGAAAATGCAACAACGGTAAAGGACTGTGAAAGTCTTTTTATGACTCTCCATTTTATATTTCACCCCACAGAATGCTGATGCCTCCTTTTTCACTGTCTTAAGTGTGCTAGCTCCATTATACAGATCCTGATCTTTAAACCATGCTTTGGCAAATGTATCCTTTGGCAAACGTATCCTTTGTGGCTCTTCTGTGATCGATTATGCCTTACTCAGTGCCATAATTGTTTACACCATGCCGCAGTCTTCCACTGGGTGAAAACACAGACAATGGTGCCAGTGCTGATCTGATCTTATTGGCCATTTGAAAACAAAAGGCATCTGTTTCTGGTGGCTGGTCAGGTTAGTACTAGAAGTCACTTCTTGGTGCTTTTCACCCTGCGTGGGAAGACAGCTGCCAGGGCTCAGGGTCCCCTTTCATTCAGGACCACCTCCCTAGAAGAAGTGTGCAGTGCTAATTCTAGCACTGACCTCGCCTTTTGCAAGCTGCGCAGGCAAGTTTTCACACTGAGTCACTACAAATGGTTTACGCAGTTAAAACAGCCAAAAAGTGTCAAAATGAGTCATAGTTTTCAACTGACAATTGCTATTTTGAGGGGCTGTTTCGCGTTGCACTTACCAGGACACCCAGGGCATTGCTGTCAGTGGCCAGCCTGAATGCCTAGTGCCCTTGCCTTGGAGAAAGCTGAAGGCGGAACTGAGAGCTGCCAGCATCTGCAGCAGTAACAGTGTGTAGAGTGAAGAAAGGCAAGGTTAAGGACATGGTAGTTGTGATCACTCCCGTGGAGGCCAGACTTGGAGAACAACAGCTGGTGAACATAAGGAAACAATTGGACATGCCCATGCAGAGAAACAATCCCAGAAAAGAAACGGTAAGGCTGCAGGATGGGAAAAGTCCCGGGAACCTGGATGAGGCTGTTTCTGTGATGTGAAGGGGCAGAAGGTAGCTACGATTGCAGAGGAAGCCATCAGGGAAGCAAAAGCACTGGAGCAGATATATTTCCTGTGAGAGCAAACAGCAAGAGAAAAGCAGAGTCGATAGGAATAAAGGAAGAAGAGATCTTGAGGGTGGGAAGAACAGACCGGTGTGAAATCGGAGTTCACTACAGCCTTGACATAAGCTAGCATAAACCATAGTGCTTACCCGCCATGCACACAAACACCCCAGACAAATAAACCACCCTTATGTTTACCAGAACTGTCCTTGGTGTTCAAAAGCCACAGGAAGAAATCAAAGGGCAAAAGGAGAGGAGAAGAACCAGGGGGCAGTCAGAAGGTCAGGTGAGGACGGAGGCCGGGCAACCTCAGGAACAGATACACAGGCGAAGGAAGTTGTAAACGGAAAGAGAAGAGGAAGGGGGGAGGCGGAGGAAGGCAGAGCCCAGGGAGCTGAATCCGCTGGAATAATGCTGGATTTTGCATAGACCTCCGTTGTTAGCAGCTCTTCCAGTTCTGCTCTCTGAATAGCTGGAGCTGTTCCAGCTGTTATGCAGGGAGCTATTACATTATCTGCTGCAGCCACAAAGAAACAGTTAAGTACAGCGCAAACTGTTGCAGGAGTATAAGCAAGACCCTATTTTTGACAACTACAAGTGGATAAAGTTACCATTGAGGAGAAAGGGTAAAAAAGTTTTTGCAGTAACCCTTCCTGGGGCACTCTTGTTTTTCTTCCCTCCCTCTTTGGGGATGAACTGCATTTATAGGCTGTTAACTTGGCAGATGAGCAGGGCTTCATTCTCCAATATTGCATGTCCAGTATAATTTTGCAAGCCATTGGGACATTTCAAGCAAAACTAAAGCTGTTTCACAGATTTTTCAGTCCACCAGTGGTAACTCCAGTGGAGTTCCCATTGAACACTTCCTTTTTTCTCCTGTTTGCAAGTTCAACTTTGCTGTCACAGAGCAGAACCCACGGTTATCACATCCGGCGGGTTTAAAGGCAGTTAAATGACATTTAGTTGGAAAAATATCTGTTGGAGACCAGCTCCTTGAGGAAAGCCATAACCTAAAGCTGCCTCAAATAACTTGGAAGGTAACTTCTTCCTTGTTTCTTCTTTGTCCCTGCTCGAAACTGAAGACTTGTGACAATGAGCTGCTTGAAAATACTCCTGTGTAACCAAATTCAGGTGGAAGAATGCCTACATGATGAGGCCAAAATGCTCTGCTTGAAACAAGGCAGTTGCAGAGCTCAAGCTAGGGTTCAGCTGGAGTGCTGCCTGCATCCCTGGCATCCTGCCCCAGAGCCACAGACCAACCATATGTCTCCATGCCCTGGGCCTGGGCCAGTCTGCCTGGGAAGACTCCTGGCTCCATGGAGATCCACCAAGCTGGAGATAGCAATGCCCCATGGGCTGTGCATACTGGCTCCGAAAGCTTCGTCAGCCCCAGCTTTAACAACCACTTGGCTGCACAGGTAGGCATTGGGATGAAGGCTTGTCCGGAGATGCAGCATTCTGCTGTACCCACAGCAGGAAGAAACAAACATAACAACCCTGGGAGCTGACTCCTGTCTTAATCTGATTGAACAAGAAGCTGCTGTGGGTAGGTTCAGTCGCCTGTTTTGTTTCCTCATCTGCACCTTTTTACCACTCCCCCACGAGTTGCCAGTGTAGAGCAGTGTGATGAGATGGAAACTAATCCCATAGGAGCCCCTCTCTACCCACCCACTCCATGCAGTTGGCTCAGCAGCCCCCTGAGAAGACACAGAATTGGAAACAGAGGAAAAGAAGGCATGGGGGAGTTTTCTGTTGGCAATCCACAGTTAAACCAGCTTCAGCTTGTGGTCTGGCTACATCCCACAAGGCCAGAGTCTGTGATTCCCCATTAGTGGCTCCTACCAGTACTGAAGAGTTTCACCAAGCAGGCAGGCCAACGCTACAAAACAACTAAAGCCATACCACTCTGCTAATGATTCCAGTACTTGGTGTTTCTTGCGTTTGAATTTGATCTTGAGAAGCCCTGTCAGAGAAACAAGTAACCGATCCCACCTCCACCTCACAAAAGCTTTTAATTTCAAGAAAGAACAGATGCCTTCCCCCCCCACCACTCTCCAGACTCTCTTGAATATAACTTTAAGACCTTCATGGCTAAATTAAATACTGGGCAAGAGAATGGCAGAATGCCAGCCACTTTCTCTCATAATATTCTAATAATAAAGATCTCATACAATATTATTATCCTTTTACACTAATTTTGGCCTTTTCCCTGTTGCCTCGGAACATCTCCTTTTGTCATTCATTGATTTTATTCTTAGTAATAGCATTACCCTGAAACACAGGCTAGACTGAGGCTCACGCACGTAACCACACAAGAAGACAGAGCAATCACAGTCACCCACGGTGCTTTTCACTGTAATATCTGTTGTCTTCAGGGGAAGTTGCACCTCCTCTCTCTCCATTGAGGGCTCTAATATTTGCAGAAACCAGGAGCTAGGGGATTCTGAGCTAAAAAAGCCTGGAGGCTGAGGAAGCAAGAAAGTGAGAACTACCACAGTAAGAAAGTAACAGCTACCACAAACATCTTGCCAGGCATCCAAGTCTGGGCAGTGCCATTACAGGACATAGGGCTAAACTGCTTTTAGGGCAGACCCAGCACAGCCTGTTTCATATATGCTACAGCACCTGAATTTGGCTCTGGGAAGTGGTCCGAATTCAAACGTGAATCTCATGGAATTGTCATCGATTGACAGTCTTTGTGATTAGCAAACTACACACCGTCACAAAATCACATTGCACAGTCACTGAGGAAACATTCCTCCGTCAGTTCTGTCTCCCTGTTCAAACAGCTTTATGTGCTATTCATAATGCTGTACAGGAATGGCATACATGACATTACATGCACATCAAAACTCTCTAAAAAAATGGAACACTTGCTAATCTTGTGGAGACATTGTGCTAAAAGTGGTGTATCCATCAAAGGAGAAGTGAATTCCATTTCATGCAAGCTCATCAAGAAAACATACACAATATGCAACCATTTCACAGCTGCCAAAAGAGATCAGTCTAATTTCTGTTTTTAGCTAGAAGGGGGAATCTATCCAGGCAAAGCTGCTGGGAGCCAAGAAGACTGTTTAAAACAATAGTAGAAACTGTCCACAGATTACATCCAAAGACAGAAGAGTTTGCCAGTGAAATGCACGTGCCGTGCCAAGTGGAATAGTTGTGATGTTAATGTGGCTGCACGCGAGGTATGTCCATTAGGGAATGTTGGTAATCCTGGGAACCAGACCTACAGAAAACATTCTGTGCAGTTCTGTTTCTGGTATTCCTGTCCTTCTCTCTCCCATTCTCACCCCTCTCTGTCCCCTTCTCAGCCCTCTCCTGTTCAACAAGCGCTTGCATGCTCACGGTATTTCTCTTTGTGCCTGTGCAAATACCATGAGATCCAAGCACCTCATGGAATTTGAGGCTATCGTGTTCGGGTGTACTGGGTAGTCAGTGGCTTCCATGGGACAACTGTTCTCAACCAGCTTTCATTTTCTCATAAACATCTCAGGAATGGTTATGAATTCTCCAAGTGTTTTAAATTAGTACCAAGAGAAGCCCTCCCCCCCTCGTCCCCAACCACCCCAACCTGTGTGCCACCACAAAGCCATTCAGCCCAAAGAAACGGCAGATGTTAGAATCATAGAATAGAACGTTAAAATGTTAAAACCATTTGTCAAGAATAAGTATTTGGGCTGTGGGCAGGGTGGCTGGATTGTCCTGCCCTGCTGGAGAATGAGACCTGCTAAACCAGGATGGAGGGAGGACCAGGGCTGCACCATCCTTGCCTGGGCACTGCTGGCAAGTGGAGTGGAGGCACAGGCTCCTCCTGGGAGCTGTCATATGAAAGACGGCTCCAGGAGGCTTTGTGCCTCAGAGACACACTTAGGAATCAAAACTTTTCCGCTCTCTGGGAGAGGGCAATGAATGACCTCCTCTGGAAATCAGTGTTCCATGTCCAGCTTTGGATCCCAAAGCCACTACCCATTACAGATGCTATGGGGATACGCTTACATGTTTCTGTGTCTGTGGTGCTGGAGCTCTTTAGGCTTCCAACCACTTCATGAACCTCTTAGGACCTCGGTCACTGCCTCTGAATGTGGTGATAATGTCCCTCGCTAGCTATTCCTGAGATGAAAGCAGTGGTATTATAATTACTACAGCACCATCCTGCTGCAAATTGACTTCTTGTGCTTGGTTACCTACCACAGACTTAATCCGTGAGTGTAACAGGCTTTTCTGTGTGTTTTCACAGCCTGGCTCTTCAGAGGAAGGCTCTTTGTTCCCAACTAGGATGATAAACGGGTTTTAGCTTTATTTGCTCAGAGGGAAGCTTATGTGCTTGCGTTGTCTGTCATCTGTCTACACCGGTAAGGTTTTAACCGCCACAGCCAATTGTAATTACCTCCAAAGAACAAAATCGCTAGAGGCAGCCGTCTCCATGATAATTGTATTTCTATGGATTTTGTGAAAGACTGCAGCAGGCAGGGTTGGGGCTAGGGAGGAGGAGGGAGAGGATGGAGTGCAAGACCACACTGAGAAATGTGTCAAGGCAATCTGTGAGGCCTCAGCTGATCCTTGGCACATCCTGGCCAAAGGCAGGCAGCCAGTCTGCAGGCACTGGAGGCTCAGTCGGCATGGGTGTCTCTCTAAATGCCTCACAAGATGCACCACCTCTCACCAGTGGGTACTGTTTCATAGGTGGCTGCAGCTTCCACTGTGCAGAGGGGAGTGGGCACAGACCTTTGTTCTGCCAGCTGTGATGGAGGGGAAAGATTCTGTTGATGCAGGCAGTGGTACCCTTTCACCCTGGGCTGTACTTGCAGGATGGCTGCTGGGCTGGTAGGTGCCTCCAGGGAGGATGGATTGGCTCAGTGCAAGACACGATTAGGCTCCATGCTATAACTGAACATAATAGGTGTGTTGCTAACAAATACTTGTAACGCAGAGGACAGCGTGTTCCCTGCGCTCAGAGATCTGCCAACACGCTAATGAAAGCTTTTTGAGGCCAGGTTTGCAAATGCATTTAGGCAACTGAGCCAAGGTATCGCAAGATAGGTAGAGCCTAATTCTCTCTGGCATCAAAAGGGATTATTCTGACTTGCCCTGCCTAGGAAGTCGTGTCTTGAAACAGCTTTCAAGCTATGAGCCTCTCTTAAATATTTCAGAAGAATTGACCCTCTCTCTGAGTGCATCTTGACTGCAGTGAGAGGTTTCTTGAACTGTCCTGGAGAACTGAGTAGGTAATTACAGCTTTTGCTAAACTGAACCATTCCCTGGAGTGATACATACTGTTTCACCATCTCAGACCTTCCTTGGAAGGGGAAAAATGGCCAGGGTGAAAGCAGATCACCACTGTCACCACCTAAATACCATAAGGCGCGATTTCTTTCAGTGTAGTCTGTTGTTCAAGACAGTCTGATCCAGTTCTCCAGGCATCTCACTGAAGTGGAGGGCAGCTGCAGGTAACAGCCAAGACCTAGATAACATTGGTAACCTAAGGTGTCTCAGGCAGTGGCCCACAGTGGATGTTCAGTGACCTCAACTGCAAATCTCAGTGAGTTCAGGAGCCTTCGTGGCAGGAGAATGTTTCCCAGGCTGGGTTTCCAGAGGCCACTGAGTCACTAAAGGGATAATAAGCTTTGTAAGATGAATAGAGAATGCAAAACAAAAATGGAAATGCAAAAATATGCATTCAGAGGGACAACAGGAGAGTGAGGAAGGAGAGGGGAGAGCATGAAAGATGCGCTATTTCCTAAAACAGTTAGTTTTGAAATGGAGGAAAAATGACTGCATTTTTGCCCTATCAAGCAATGTGAAAGGTTAGCACTTTTTCCCAGCATTGCTTTGGTTTTGACTAGGTCTCCAGCAACTATTACTCAAAGTTAGTTCAGGCTTTGGTCTTTGGGAGCTTTTTTAATGTGCTCGTGCTTAGAAGACCATTAATATTTATAATTGTCACTCGAATCCCATTTTTACTCTTGCGCAGGCAGCATCTCACATAAGAAGAAAATACTGTTGCTCTTCTTTTTTTTTTTAAATATAATTATAGTAAGTTTAGAGTTGAAGCTGTTCTAAAAATGTCATATTTTATGCATCTGTGATGTATAGTTTTGGTAGCCTGCCTGTGCCCCCAAGATGGGATTGAGGGATCATAAGGCCTGGAGAAATGGGTATGGAGTCTATTCTCAGCTCTGCCACTGGCTAACTATGCAACCTTAGTCAGTTCGTTTAACCTCAGCATGCCTCAGTTTCCAGATGAAAAAAGAGAGGGATAACAGGCTCCTTTGTGAATGCTTTCTGGTGCTTGAGGGAGAACAAGGTATTACCCATCAAGTTGCTGCTGCGCTGTGACTTCTGCGTATGGATGGCTTCTGTGAGCGTTAGGATACATACGTCAGGGGAGTCCAGGAACACAGATGGAGATCTGGCAACTGCGTTTCTCGCTGAGGGAGACAGCCCTCACAGTCACTTTGACAAATCACAGCCACAGACACCCTCTGCTTTAGGCACCAAGGCTTATATGTCACTTTCAAGCATTTTCCTGCCAGTCGCAGCCGTTGCTGCCTCCTGTACATGGGCTTGTGTATGTGATTAATGCCTGCTGCAGCTTCACTTGCTGACCCCCGACAGTGATCAATGGCACTCTGAAGAACAGTAAATCAGTATAAAATAACAAATCAGTGGCTAGTAGTGGCAATAAAACACTTGCCTAATTTAAAGACTAAATGTGTGCCTTGGAAAGCATAAATGAGGGACTCATACACAGCTGTCGAAATGCATGACCTATTGCTTTTGGAGCACCTAGACCCAATACACAAGTCAGAGATGGGTCACAGCTCTAGAGGGACATGCAGTATCGCTGGGCACAAAGAGAGGAAAATGGTCACAGTGATGTTAGAGGAAGTGGTTAAAAGCATGCAGCTCTTTTATTACAGCAGGATGTGCTTTGTATACCTGGCTCAGAAAGGAAAGCAGAACCGCCTAAGCTTTCTCTCAGCAGGCATTAAAGCACCAGAACTGCCTCGTGCTGCACAATCCTGCTTCCTGAAAACATCATCAAGCAGAGGCACTGCAGGCCTTTCTCAGCAGCAGAAGAGGGAGCATTACACAAGACGAAGTAGTGCAAATGCACGCCTAGCTGGATGGCATAGCTATCTCCAAAAAAAATCAGGGAAGCTGCATGCACAGTGTTATCTTTTTGGGATTCGTGCAACCTGATTCAGTTATATGGAGAGACAGCACCTGATGCAAAGCAACACTCTCTAACGCAAGACTCCTCGCTGTATGAAATCTCCCATGTGCTGTTTTGCTTTTAGGCTAGCGTGGGTGTGCTACGTTCCACCTTAGCAACGGCAACAAACGTGTGCTGCAGCTGCAGCCTTCTCCTCTTTGCAGAAGGAGGAGCGCACCCCCAGTTGTCTCACAGCCACCATGCAGCTCAGCTCCCCACGGAGCTGACCCTGTCCCCCAGTGCCTTCCTGTGGCTCTCAGCACGCTGGCACTGTGTCAGGAGCTACAACTGAAGCAGACAAGTCTTCCCAGCTATGCTCTGCTCCAGCCTGCTTCTTCTGGTCTCCAGAGAGCATCATCAGAATCAGTCTGGCAGAGGCAGGATCAGCTGCTTCATGCCAGCCCCCTCCATCGTTCCTGGAGTCAGATGGCTCCCACTGCTCAAGCCCTTTTACAACACTTGAATGCCAGAGAATGTCTGAGAGCTTTATGAGTATCTGGAGAAAACACAAACCGTAGTCAAGGCATCGGTATCCATTAGTAACTTATGGAAGGCTGGGGAAGGATTTCAGAGGCTAGAGTGTCAGGAAGCAGGGGGTGTGGGTAAGAGCCACCCAAGCCAATATTAACGTTGGAGCTAAAAAAACACCCACAAATATAGTAAAACCATGTGAAACATAAAAACCATGGAAATCTGGTTTCTCCTAGAATTTTGATTCTGCCCTGGTTTTCATCCTCTGTTGAACTTTGGGACTTGTAACAACATTTTATATATATATATATATAAAACCCAGAATCATAGAATGGTTTGGGTTGGAAGGATCTTGACGACCATCCAGTTCCAACCCCCTGCTGTGAGATGGGACACCATCCACTAGACTAGGTTGCTCAAAGCCACATCCAGGCTGGCCTTGAACATACATGTACACACGTGTGCATGTTCAAGTACAGGCAACAGTCCATCTTTTAATGCTTCACCAACACATACACCTGAGAACAGAGAACACATTTAGGGTGTATTTACAGATCCAAAACTCTTGAGATAATTCTACCTTAAAAACGTTCTAAAGAGGGCTGCTTCTGGAGGAAAACAACGTTTGTGGAACGGCTCCTGAAATAGCCAGCTGTGTGTTACTGCACACGGAGGAAGGAGGTGAAGAGCGCGTCTCTCCTCGCTTTTAATTGCAGGGCAATAACGGATCATTTACAAGCTCCTCATTCAGTGTTTTGCACCATCTTCACAGACTCCTCGTGGGGCCCGGCACCGGTTGGCCGTTGAGGGGGGCTGTGGGGAGCCGGCAGCAAACGTGCCGCGGGCCGGGGCAGGTTTTACACCGGGGTCGTAACGACGAGAACCGGCTCCGTTCTCCCCCCTGGCTTTTACCAGTAAGGGCCGTGTCAGGTGTTTAACGACAAACGCACCGAAACCGAAAGCGCACGCCGCCCCTTCCTCCTGCCTCGTTAGTCAGCCATCTTATCCAGCCGTTACTCAACGCACGGCCTCGGCACTCGGAGGGGGAAACAAACGAGCCGCCATAACCGCGGAGCTCAAGCGGCCATGGGAAACACGTCCTTCATAACGAGTTAACGGGCAAGGGCACAGCGTTGCGGGCGCCGCTACCGCGGGCTCTTCTGCTCTACCGGGGCGACGAACAGAAGCGGAACAGCTCCCACCGGCGGAGCCGAGAGCCCCTCACCTCATCACCGCGCTGCGGGGGCGCCCAGCAGGGGCTCGCGTCGCCAGCCTCCGCTCCAGCGGCCGCAGCCAATCAGCGGCGGGGGACACCGCCTCCTCACGCGTACGCCCCGCCCCGTGCGGGGAGCCGCCCGCCCGCCCGTTGCGGCGACCAGCTCCGGAGGCCGAGGGGCTGCCTGGCCGCGCCGCCGCTCCGCCATGTGGCTGCTGCCTGCTTGGGTGCTGCTCAGCGCCGTGGGCGCCGGTGAGTCCTCCTCGTCCTCCTCGTCCTCCCTCTCTCTTCCTCCTCCTCGTCCCACCTCTGAAGCTGGGCCCGCGGTACCGGGGCCTGAGGCACCCCCGTGCTCCCCCGCCGGGTTCTGGTGCCGGCGCCCCGGCAGGGCCCCGGGGCCGAGGTGGGGAGGGTTGTGCGGGCGGGAGAGCGGAGCCGCCTCCCCCGGTCCGCGCAGCCGTTGGGCAGGAGGGAAGCGGAGGGGCGGGTGCATCCTGGCGGCGGCGGAACGGGGCGTGGGGCGGCCGGTCCCGCGGAGGAAGCGGAGCGTCGCCTGCCCGCCCTGCTGCCGGGGTACCGGGAGGCTCCGGTTGTCCCTGGTCACCGTCGAGCAGCGACCGTGGCGGCAGGCGCGTGTGGCTGCGGGCGGATTAGTTGTGGCTTTCTATGCTGGGGGTGAAGGGGGGCTCCCTCCAGCCCTTGCCGCTTCCCTCGTTCTCCCGGTTTTGGGAACGCGTTGCTTCTTGCTGAAAGTGCGGGGGAGACGAGATAGCAGCGCAGAGCCCGGTAGCGCTAGGGCAGCTTAGCTCGGTGTGCGTAAAGAACCAACGATGATCAAAGTGATTTGTATCGGGTTGACGGCATTCCTCGATCTTAAAAGTTTGGGTGCTACTGATGTGTAAATAACATCTCGAAGCTTGCGTGCCACTGATGTGTAAATGACAGCTCGCAACCTGACTTATGTTTAATGTGCCTCAAGAAGAAACTCGTTGGGAGGAGGGGGAGTTAAAACCCCAAACCCATAACGTTTTCATTGAGGTGCAGATGCTGGATGTGCTCTTTACTGGCAAACCCCCTGTGTTTAAAGCTGACATGCAAATTCATGGCTGGGTTCCTGAATTAGCAGTAGACTGGCTTAAATGCTGAGTGCTGTTGCATGTTTTGTGGTCAGTGGGAAATGCAGGTGACCATCAGGCCGGGTTTAGCCAGTGTTGACATAATGTGCAGTATCCCCAGATTTGCCCTGCGTGTATCATTTGAAAGAGCCTTTCAATGGCAGCTTCACAACTCAGTGTTCTTCAGGAATAGCCTCTCCCAAACTGCTTAGTATAAGGCTCTTTTAAAACGGTCACTTTAATGAGACAAAGCTGATAGATAAACCATGAAAAGTTTGGGGCTAGGAGTCCTGCATGATTTGGGAACTGTTGCCAAAGGGTTCTTCTGATGACTTCCTCATCCCGTGAGAAAAAAACGGCTGAAGCTTGTAGTGACGGTACCATCTATAGCGAAGTTGTCAAGTTCCCTTTAGGGGGATAGCAGCTATGCAACCTCTTCCACTGAAGCAGTCATATTTGAAGAGGACTGATGCGCACATAGTGTGCGGCTTCTGTCGGTGCCCGTCTGCAGCCTGCTCGTTATTTCCCCAGCACTCTGCTGGTGAAGCAGTTTATATGCGTGCCTTCTTAATTGGCTTCAGGCAAAAACATGCCAGCTCTCATGGACTACACAACAGCAAAGTGGTGGAATCGGTAATTTACCAGCCCCCTGCCATTCTGTGCTAATACGAGGGAGTAAATTGTGGTAGATTGGTTTTAATTCCTTCAAAATGGCTGGGTTTTATTTGCTTTAGTAAATGTTTGGAAACGTAGCTGCTTGCTTTAGTTGCGAAGCACCTTTCTCAATGAAATGGAGCCAGCAGTGAATGAATTCTTCTATGAAATATAAATGTGCTAGCTCTATGGTAGAAAAACCCCTCCAAATCCAAACAAAACACAAAACCTAACAGCCCCACGCTCATAAACTGTTTATTGTGAAATAGCATTAAAATAAAACAGATGTGATTTCCCCCCCAGGAACTGTTGAAGCACTACAGCTTTTAACTGTGTGCATATGTTTTTTTATTAGGGCATCGTCTGAGGTTTGGCTACAGTTTGCCTTCGTTCTGCTTTTGTTACTTTCATTTTTTCAAGGTACAGTTAAAATAGTGCAACGCAGCGAGTAAACCAGAGAATAATTCCTCCTTCATTGCAAAAGTGCTGTCATGCATAATATGCGTAGAACCGGTTTATTATAAGCTTTTGATATTCAGTGGTAATCCAGTGACCCGTGTGAGAATACTAAAGCAGTGTTTCAAAGATCAGTGCTTTTTACATTTGATCTGAGACTCTCTGGCTGCTGCAAATAGTGACACAACTTGTACTGGGTTTTACTGGTTTTTCCCTTTCTCCCTTTCCCATAACTGAATTTAGTCAACAAATACCTGCCGCGCTGCTGAGCTGGTTTATACCTGTGAATGCCAGTGTCTCCTCTGAAGTCACTGGAAATACTCCAGTTTGTAAGTGTGTGTGCTTACGGTATTAGCGGTTGTGGTCTTGTTTTACAGCACTTATCTTTGACCATATTTGGGTTTATCAGTTGGATATAGTCAAGTGTTTTGCATGTTTAATGCCACCATGACTCTGGGGAGCGATGACTATCAGGACAGCTATAAAACCAAGTTACAATTTCACGTAAGTGAGGAAGAACGTGGAAAAGATTCCAAGCCTTCATATTTTGCAGTTAAGCTAGTTTAATTAATCTCTCTCTTCTGGTTCCAGGTGCAATTTAAATACTGATGTTATCATTTTTAGTATTCCTAAAAACAGATGAAAGATCTTCATTTCCAGTAAAATCTCGGCATACAATGAGGTCTTTCTTGAAACAGTGGTCAGGCAGTACTGCTGTTTCAGAACTGTGCTGCAGTGTGGGAGAAAAAGGGTAACAACCAGCAGTGATAACTTAGCCCTGTGTTGTGGTGATTTTTCATTGCCTGCATTTGAATGGTGGCATTAGTGTTGCTTGCAGTGGTTTATAATAGAGGTCGTTTATTGTTACAAATTCTCCGTTTTCAGTTCTATTGTCTATATGCTCAAATACTGAGTCAGTAATAATCTTATTTAATACATGGTATTGTGTGTGCACCTCCTCTGTCAGAAAGGAAAAGAGAATTTGCAGGGAACCATCTAAACCTATGGGCATTTGGCTCCACCTTCAGAGGCAAGAAGGAACAAATGACAAACCTCTGTTGACTGAGCTGCCCTGCCAGCCTTCTCAGAAGCATATAAGTAGAATTCTTCCCTTGAAGAACTGTGAAAGATGCTTGCGTGGAGCTGATGCCTGGACCTCCCTTTTTACATACCCGTGGGATGAGCAAACATTTGACCATCAATGGGACAAGCTGTGGTTAATGTTATGTGCGTGCTTTGCAGAAGCCAGGCCTTAGTGCAGTATTCCTGCCTGTGGCATTCTAGGGGAAGTGTCCGAGTAAGTGGCAACCCAAAGCTTTTATTTCTTTTTTCTTTCTTTTTTTTTGTTCTTGTTTTTTAGTTTATGATAGGCTGTGGTATCTATACATTAAATGGGTGTGAGAATGGCTTAAGTCTTTATAGAGGGACTTTGCTAGAATTAGAGTGATTATATAATTAATGCCTTTTTTTTCCTCCTTCTGTTACTCCCTTAAAAGATGGTTCTTTTTGTGTGGTTTCCCTTGAGAGGTTGTCTCCTTTTCCCAAGTCACATGTTGTAATTATTTTTTCTTTCTTTCTTTTATTGTATATTAAGGAATAATTCTGAATGTGTCCATTTTTGTTTCTCTGTAGGTTCTGCCCAGTTGATATTTAGTGGGACAGATGTTGTTCAAAGAACTGACTGTAATAAAACTGTCATTTTACCTTGCTATGTGACTAACCTGAAGGAGAACAACACAAATGTCATGTTTGTGACATGGAAAAAACAAGGAAATATCATTTTTTCTTTTGATGGAAGAAAACAGGAGTTTTTCAGAGATCCCGAGTTTCGATCAGCTGACTTAGTATCTCAGGCGGATTTACCCAAAGGTATTGCCTCTCTGATGCTTAGCAGTGCAGAAGCAGCTGTTGGAAATTACAGCTGTGAAGTAACAGAGTCAAACAGAGAAGGAGAAACAAGAATTGAACTTAGAAACCACTCAGGTGAGTTGCCTGCCATTGTGTTAGAACCTGTTGGGAGAGAAACCAGGCGAAATCTTACAGGCAAGAGAAAAATCATGACTATGACAATGTATTACTTGAAAATAGGAAAACTGTACCACCCAAGACTTCTAACTTGAATGCTAATACGAGTTATTTTGTATTCAGTTATAGGGCAGTGCTTCTGTGGGGAAAGATCTGAACACATTTTTTGATTCTGTAATAGCATCTAAAGATCATTTACATAGTCTCAGTATCTTTGTAATACTGATGTGAATACGACCATCACAGTGGCTGCAGAGGTCTTTTCTTTGAAGAATTGCTTCTTGGAATCTTTAGTGATGCTGGAAAAATTAACAGGCAAAACTAATAGGAATTCTACATAAGAACTCGAAAACTTGATCTGAAGATAGGCAGTTTTCTAGTGAGGTTGAAGATGCTGCTACTAGGTAGTAACTTGTAATGGTTGTCTAGCGTTAAATGTCATCTTCAGAAGGCAATGTGTAAAGTAGTGGTGACTAAGTGATAAATTTCTCATTTAGGGAGCCGTTTGACCTTATTTTGTCAGACGCAGCCCATGTGCTCTAGCTCCTCAGCTATTGAATAATGGGATCTGCTGTATATGTGCAGTCTGCCTAGCGTTCTGCAGCAGTGACGGTTTCGCTGAGTATAGATGTGTGCTGTTTATCTGTTCTGCTCAGGAGACTTGCCCCTTGCTTCTGGAAGGCTGCTAAGAAGCACTGAATGCATAGCATGCGGAGTCTTACTCATGCACTGTAGAATTGCCCTAGGATATTCCTGCTGTTAGTTTTTTCATTAGTTATACTATTTTTAAAGCTCAGAGAGATGTTACTTCTGGCCTGCTGCAGACATCTGTGTAATTCACAGTTGGGTCTTACCCATATGCAACAAATATGATCCTGAAGTGGATTGAGAGGGGCACAGACGCTGAGAGAGTGAGGATGCTTCAAAATCATTCAGTTCTTACAACACTGCAAAACAGGGGAAGAGGTATAGGCAGCTTCCTCCCTTCTCTTAAAGCTTCTTCATTACTCAACCGTATTGGACTGGTTTTGCTATTCAGTTTTAAGCTCTAGAAGAGGAAATGGTGCTTGAGGACATAGTAGAATTGGGTCCCATTTGCAAGCTTTACTGTTTTATTTTCACTTTGTTTAGAATGTTGAAAGCTGCATAACAGAGTACAAAGCAGGAAACTGATGTGGTTTTTTTTCTAATTTCATTTTCTAGTTGTCAGTTGCGGCGAGGAAAATACCCCAGCATCAAAGGAGATACGTGGTTGGTGAATTTAATAGTTGCAAGGTCACGTTAAGCTTGAAAGTGTACGCTAGGGAACGCAGAACTTAGTCTTGCGTTTGAAGGCTTAGCTGGAAGTAAACCAGTTGCTTGTTCTCTCTTTAACTTCTTGTGCATCGGTTTTGGGGTTTTGTTCCTCATTGCTCTAGAGAGACTCTTGAGATGGTAAGCTAAAAGAAGAAAGCATAGCAAGGGAGTTTTGAAAAAGGTTAGTGAGGAACAGAAATCCTGTACCAGTCCTCACTCTCTTGTTCCTGAGCAACAAATTCATGCTGCCACTGCTAATAGCTTCCAATTGCTGCTTTCACAAAGGCGGTCTTAAAAGAGCCAACCGTTCTCCATCTCACTTCACAGAATTCCTGGATTCGCCTAGGAAGTGGGTAGCAGAGCGAGCAAGATTATCTGTGCCAGTGCCCTTGTCTTTGGGCATGCCCTTTCCTCATCAGTTATCTTCACAGGAGAGTGACAGTAAAGTTTTCTTTTTTTCTTGTGTTTTTCTCATTTTCTCTTTTCTCACTTATTTTTTTCCTTTCCCCTTTTCCTTGTCTCTTCTTTTCCTTCTCCTGCCTTCTCCTCCTTGTCTAGAAGTCCATCTTGTTATTTTGGAACTGACTTCTTTATGTTGGCTTTCAAAGTAATACTTTTCCTAGGAATTCACTGCTATAAAACACCAGAGTAAGGGAAATGTTTTGCCAGAAAAATGTGTTCAGCTGTTTCTCTTATTTGCATGTTGCATGTCCAGCAGTATTGCAAGCATTTCCATACCATAAGTGCTTTTAGACTCTGAGACTGGACCATACATGATTCCATGTCGCACGCTGAAGTCCTAGCACATACCAGGCTTCACAGCTGCTTGCTTTTTTTGTGCATTGAAGTTAGAAGCAGAAGGGCTTCCTTTAAACAGTGCATTCAATTAGGCTTGTTTTGGCTGTAAGGAAGTTGGCAGATATTCCTGCATTTCTCTGCCTTTAGTATATTCTGTGGTTGCCTTCCATGTATGTTGTAACCACAGTATCTTTTTCTGTGACCGCCTGCGGGAGGAGGAGAGGGGAAAGATGGGAATCTGTGAATTGAAAACTGTCTTCAAGGTGTTTAACTGTCATTGAAAGTTGAGGGATTGCTGCTTAATTTCATGTTTCTGGAGCTGCGGATATAGCCTTTAAATATGGAATAAGTGCAAGGGTTATGGACCTTCATGATGACTAGAAATTTGTGGAAGCTGGAAGCAGGTGTGCAGGCAGAGGACCAGTGGCAAGTATAATGTAAAAAATGAAGCCTTTGGATTCCACTGAGTGAGTTTAAATGAAGTTATGAGCAGAGATGCAAGAATCAGCTGCATTTTCTAGTTCAGTGGAGATATTTTATATTGGAAGGTAGCTTACATGGTCTTACAGCACGAGTGACTGAACAGCCTAAGGCATCCAAGATGCAGGGGAAAAAAGGCTAAATGGATGATGGTGGGAGGACCTAAAATCACACATATAGAAGTGTGCAATTTCTAATCTTAACAAAGCAATGTTTCCTTCTCATTAAGGTTAGCTCCTGTATTCCTTACTGCACATCTGGGTTTCTTCAGGCATTACAGCAGTTGGAGATAGAATAGAATAGCTGGGGAAGCATCAATATCTTCTTGTCATTTGATATCAATTCTCATATCTTGCCTGCTTAGCCTGAATATACTGTTATTCTGATCAACCGTGCTGTTTGTAGTACCACAAGCTAACTAGCTTGTATTGCCGGACAATAGCATAAACATATCCTCTGCTCTAGAGGAGGTTAAGACCTCCAGTTTGGAGAATGTTAGGGTAACTAGAAGTACTGAAAAAAAGAAAATAACTAAAGAAAGAATAAATAGGTTGTCTCAAACAAGCTCAGAGTGAAAAATACATAGGTAGAACTCATAGCTTGCTTAGCCTGTTATAACTCTAATTGCTCAATACTTTATGTATTAGTTGGCAATGTAGAGCATAGCTGAAGAGGAGCCATAAAGGTAAGACTAACAACCTCAGTGTTTGTTTGCTTCCTACCATTTCTCTTTGCTTGTTCTCTAGGATCATGGTTTCTTCTAATGGAAAGGGCTATCATCATAACGTTACTATTCTTAGTTATTACTTTGTGTGCGGCTCAGTTAAGTGCTATTGGTAAGTATCAACTCTTTAATTCTTTGCAATTAATGATTTGCCCTAAAGATTTATCTTAAAATTACATGTATACCTAAAGGCATCTGTGTAAGATGAAAGATGGTGCTTACATCTGAAAGATGTGTGGTAGAATTGTTTCAGATAATACACAGAAAGGTATAGGACTGCTTTGTCAGGTATATTGGCTTTTGGTTTGCTCTAGAATCCTCTCCTGATCATCCTTGCTGTTATTTACTGTCATTTTGGGGCTTGGTTTTGGCATGAACCACCTGACACCATGAGAGAGTTAACTTATATACAGTTCTCAAGGTAGTTCCTAATAAGCAGTGTTACTTACAGGCTTTTCTGCTGCATAGTCTTCCATTTCCTTTCCAGAGAGCCTTGTGCTCACAGTTAGCTATGTGTTCAGGACACATAGCAAACATTTCTGGCATCAAGCTGTGAAAATGCTAGTCTGACATAGAATATGCAGAGTTTGGGACCTGTGAACTCAGAATATGAGCTCTTCAAAAACATGGGTCGTGGGGCTTCAGCGTGCCACAGTCATGCCATTGTGGATGCAGGCTCTGTGTTGTAAAGGGGTCTAGCCCTAAGCAGTGGGATCTGGACCAGCCTGCTCTGTTTGCTTGGAGGTCAAGGGTTGTTTTCTGGGGTTAAGGCTTTTAGCAGCTGTATGTCTTTATAGACAAAGATAGGACGTGGAGCCTTAAAGGGTCTGTGTTTAGAGCTGGTCTGCCATGAGGTGGTGTTTCCGCTGCCAGTACTGTTGGAAGCTGTGAGCTTTTTTGCATGTGTGTAATTTTTGTGGGGTATAATTCATAACATCTACTGTCATTGGTTAGAATAAGGAAGCTTTATTTCACTGTTGGTTCACCATAACATTATTGAATCATGAGAAACAGAGACATGTTTCATTTTACAGTCATAAAACCAGTATTAGAGAAGGATGGTCTTTTCTTAATATAAAATTGTTCACTGGTCTTTTAGCACGGGCTGAATTGTAATTTAACGTGGCCATTAATTATTTTATTCAGTGTTTTCAGAGGCAATACATCCATCAGTGTCAAGACATCCTCAGATGTGCTTTATACCAGTCTCCAACACTGTGCAGTGTAGAGTGTGCTTTATGGCCTAGTTTTTCAGATGGTTCCCTGTGGTGCAGTTTGTTACATCAGCCTTTGATGTAGGGTTTTTTTTTCAGCCTTTTCCAATTTGTAGACTTCTAAAACGATAAATTCTGCTTGGAGTTGAGGCCATAAGAAATGGAAAGAAATTGCACCCAGTGTGATTTATAGTAATCACATATTCAGCAGTCTGTATATAATTTCCTTTATTACCTTTTCATGAATGTCTGAAAGTGTAGTGGGACTCTTCAAGGGTCCATCCGTGAGCAGAGGTTGAAAACTAATACGTGTTTTTAAAATGCCAGTCCATGTCAGTGGGATGCTAATTCTGGATATGCTCCACGTTTTTCTTCTTGAAATTTCCTACAGTTATTTGCTTGCTGTTTGTGATTACCAATTTCAACATATATCAAGTTGGTGGTATATTAATTTTCAAGCTTTTGGAGCAAGAGCTGCCTTTTTTTGTCTTTGTTTTAGCAGAGTATAAGGCAGAAACGAATACAGTTTATTATGATGATGTATTTGTACTGTTCCTTCTTTTCTGAAGACTACTAAAGTGCTGCTGCTTTGAAACCCTCCACTGGAATCAACCATTTCTGAGATGGCTGCTGTTTAGCAGTGCACTTTTACTGAAAAGTAGTCTTGTCTACAGCATCTGAACATGTAGGTCATCTTATACCTACTCATCTTCAAAGTATTCTGGTGAGATGGGAATCCTGTTCCCTTGGGGACAGAGGTGATGCAGCTGAGTTCGCACAGTGTCACAGGGAAGAGAATTAAACCTGTAATTTCTGAGTCCCTGTCTGACCCTCACCTGGGTAACAGATTCACTGCAATATTATTTATAAGTGATGCATCTCCCTGAATTAACCTGCGCTGTGTCCCAAAGTTACTGTGATAACTTACCACCTGGATTTTATAGAAGGGTGGAATAAGAATCCTAATCATTAAATCTGTGTGTTTTAGTGGGAGAGTTATGCGTGTCTGATTGTTCTCCTCTCTGTTTTGTCTTCAAGTATTAAAATATGAAACTGTACCTCAGAAGAAAACGGGCATTATTGTAGCAGTCGCCGCCTTCGTAGTTGCTGCTGTTGTAGGCACTGTTCTTTTTGTCCAAGGTAAGTGCATTAAAATTGCCTTCCTACTTGAAGGGAATAAGAGCACCAGTGAACCTCTTCCATGCAGTAGTAGGGAAGTTAATACCGCTTCTTATTTGCTGTCTACTAGTTTTAAACTGAAAACAAAAAGGTAATAATTACAGAACACAACAGAACCAGCACTGTGGTTGTCAGGCCCTCAGGTAATCACAGGGGGATATGGACACCCAGTTTAGTTCTATTTTCTGTCCTGTTACTTTGGGTGAATATTAGGGGCTGGGGGGTGACTTCTGGTGCATCACTGACGTTTTTTTTCTGCACCCTAAAAACTCGATCCTAATGATTTACTTTTGGTGCTTTGTGCTTTATTCCAGTCAAGTACTTTTGTTTTACTGATTTCCATACAAATGTTTGCAGATGGCTATACTGCACAGAATCAAGCTGGCCTTGGCCTGATTGTAGTCCCTGCTGTGATTTTGGTACCACTTCAATATGTTATGTTTGGAATCGGTGAGCATTTATTTATTCACTAGCTCAAGAACATACTGATATTAAACCTGAGTGCCTTTTCTCTCCATCACATGATCTGCATACTGCTTTCATTTTCATAAATAGGTGCTACAATAGCATCCTGGATTCTTGACCTTCCTAGTATCTCAGAACAAAATGTTTAACCTGTACTTGTTTGGCTAAAATGCTTCAGGGAAGAAGTGTATAAGTTACCTGCTTGAAAAATGAGATTTGGGGTAGGACATCTGAGTGATTGCTGCTCTTCTTTCCTGGGTCTTGGGGCTGGGATGAGCAATTAAGTTGTTTGTATGTGTTTAGTTTTTTCTGCTTGTGGTTTATTTATAAACTTCTTTCTATAGACATAAATGTTTATGTGTCTGTGTATACATATAAAAGCCCCGAGTGACTTGCAGTGATTGTGAGTTTTGTTATTACACTGGCTGGCTGAGCTTGGAATTCAGGAGAACCTGTTTCCTAGCTTGATAGAAATGATCTGTCTCTTGTGTTTCTGTAGTTCAACTTTCCAAGTTAAAATTCTCTTTCTCCTTCTGTCTTTCCCAGTCTTTGATAGCCTACCACAAGCAGCATTTGCTCTGATAGGTTTGCACGTTCTTGGCTATGTAATTGCTGTGGTTGGTTTTGCACTGTGTGTCTCAGGTAAGCAATTTATATTCTGTAAAAGTGTCTTTTTCCTTTTGCCTATACCTGGGATTTCTTTAGCACTAAAATGCTGTGCAGATGGCTTCACTCCATTGAGTGTTAGCGAGGTACTTCTGTAAATGTGCTTTAGGTTTACTGTGCTAACGCTCTTTTATCTGGTGAAAGAAGAATAGCCTAAAAGTAGTATTACGTATATCGGTTTCATTAGTACGACCACATCCAGCATGACTGTGTTCTATGAGCAGTTGCTTTTTAAAGCAGGGAAGAACAGTTAATTAATTGTGCAACAGTTAATTCCCTGAAGAGTCACCTGAAACCACCACTGAGCTTTATTGCTGTTATTCTTACTGAGGCCTGGGGTACTTAGAAACTAAACTACTCGAACGATTTTCTCATGTTCAATGAATAAATCAGAAATCCCTTGTTAATCTCTGCAACTGATAACTGAGTTGCTAGGAAACTAATACCATTGAAACAGCCTAAGGAGGCAGATGCAGAGGCAGTAAACTTGGAAGCATTCTTCAGACTGTTCTAAGTCTGGTTGTGGCTGGCATTCTGTTTCAGTGCTGAAAACCAGTTGCTGTTTTGAAGGAACACCAGTTAAACACTGCATACGGTGATACCTCTTCTCCCTGCCTCTACCTCCTCCTTTGTTCTCTGCCTGCTTTCCCCTCTGCCCATGAGAAAACCCCACAACAGAGAAAAGGGTGAGCATAGGACTAGGCATCCTTGGTAGTATGTTCAGTAGTAGAATACATACTAATGCTAATTGGAAAAACTTTAACCCCCTGATTTTGTTTCATAGAGACGTTCTTCATTTTAACCATTGATTTGGTTGGGTATTTCATAGAATCATAGAACAGTTAGGGTTGGAAAGGACCTTAAGGGCCATGGGCAGGGACACCTCACACTAAACCATCTCACCCAAGGCTTCGTCCAACCTGGCCTTGAACACCACCAGGGATGGAGCATTCACAACCTCCCTGGGCAACCCATTCCAGTGCCTCACCACCCTCACAGGAAAGAATTTCTTCCTTATATCCAATCTAAACTTTCCCTGTTTAAGTTTTAACCTGTTACCCCTTGTCCTGTCACTACAGTCCCTAATGAAGAGTCCCTCCCCAGCATCCCTGTAGCCCCCCTTCAGATACTGGAAGGCTGCTATGAGGTCTAAAATTTATTTATTAAACACTCTTTGTCCTTGAAGTGGTTTCTAAAGATTTGTCTGTTCTGGGTGAAATTTCAGTGGGGTTGTGATTTGAGCTCAGTGCTTATTGTTTAGTATTCACTGAAGTATTTGTAAGGGGCACCCGAGTGTTGTCAAATGTAATAGTAAAATAAGCTGATGGGAGATTTCTGGTGAACCTCTAGAGTCATGTGAAATGGAAAATGGTTTTATTATGCTCTCAGATGGAAAGTGTTCCTAGTTTTTCAGGGTGACCTTTTCAGAGGTCAGGTAAGGTAGATGGTACCTGTATTTCTGGAAATTAAGCTCAGTGACCCTTACGTGTCAGTAGAAATAGCTCATCTTAGCTGGAGCTCACAGGTAGTTGAGATGACTTCAAGCCACTGGAAACAAGGATCAGAGGATGAGGAGTTTCTGTGGAGAACTAGGGTTAGTTTGAATAGCCTGCTCCTGCTCTGTGGTACCCCTGTAAACTTGGAGCATCCCTGTTACCTATGGTGGATTTGGCTCAGAACTACCCTCATAATCTGGTCCCTTCCCATTTTTTATCCTGTTTTATTAGTAACAGTCTTGTATTCTGTAATTGAATGTAGTTACAGTTCAAAATAAGTGGGATTGAAGATGTAAGTTTGAAATAAAATTAACAGAAGAATGTTGTCAGTTGCAGTGAGTGGCAGTAGAATAGCTAAACTCTAATAGAATAGTACAGCTAAGCAGGATGAATCAGTGAATGCCTCTGTATTGTTAAAGAATACATACATAAAAAGGAAGATGAGGAAATAGTTTTGTGATAGCTTTGAAAGAGAAATGAATCATGTCTGCATTTATCAGGTGTATTTATTTTAGTGTTCACTTCATGTGCAAATAGAAGCTTGTGCTTTTACTTGTGTCAGATAATAGTTTATTTTACCCTGTTTTTAACAGCCTGTCCTCCATTACATGGGTCTGTTGTGATTGCTGGCTTAGCTATTATGGCCATTGCAAATTTGCTTAGTCTGGCTTACGTGTTTATTATGGGTAAGTAGCACCTAATATTCTGCATTATTTTTTTTATTTTTCTTTTTTAGCATCTATTCAGAAGAACAATTTTTTTCTGTTTTACTTTCAGAAGTAGACACAATTTATTTGAACATGAGGTGCAATTTCACAGTTACCTAGTTCAATAAATTACTGCAAAGTTGCCTGTATGGTTTGGCTATGTTTCATAAAGCCTGTGGGCAATCTTCGAGTAAAGAAATTTACAGCTTATCACAATAAACTGTTTTGTGATCAACACAGACAGATTTCTTAAGGAAGAGTGTTTCCACTGTAGGATGGATGCTGCTGTTTAATATCTGCAGTTTCACAGCTGGCTGGCTGAAGCTTAGAACGGAGAGAGAGCAGATGGATTTCAGGAGTTGTCTGCACCACCCCATAAGCCATTCTACACAAAGGCTTATCAAAATACAAATGTGAAGAAGCAAAATCTGCCTAGTGATTTCCACTGGTTAGAGGCAGGTTAAAATAAAAGAGTGATTTGAATGCACACCTTTCATTTTAGTGAATCCTGGTCTATCTTGTGCTTAATGTTAAAAGCCAGGAGCAAAGAATAGCAATACTTTGTTTCAGAAACTGGTCTGTTCACCAGATATCAAAAAGGTGAGAGATTTAAAGGTAAAAAAGCCAGTCATGCCTGCTAAATAGGCAAAACCCATGGTAATGCTGTGTGATTGGAGTGCTGGCACACCACAGCGTAACATTATGTGGACTTTACAGCTTGGGTCTGAGAGCAGAATGACTGTTTGTTTCAAGCTGTGCATGAAGGCTCTTCAAACAGCCTTATTAGATTGGACACAGAACCTTGCAATTCAGGGTACATTGCTTCCAGACACAAGCTGATGTGTATGCAGTCAGTGCTGTCCCTATGTCTGCACTGAGCTATGCAGTCTTCCAGGTTTAGTATGTGCACACCATGTCTGAGCATGATCTGAAATGATAGACAAGGAGGATTTCTAGTGAAGAAGAAATTAAGGCAGAATGCCTGGTATTTGGTATCTGAGGTAGATGAAGATAAGTCAAAAATGTGACAGACCTGAAGCAAACCTTTTTACAGCAATACAAACAACTTACTTTGGGGTACTCATCTGTACAACTTTGTGCTAATGTTCTGCATTAATATTGCATTTGTATTCTGATTATGCTGGCTGAAGAAGTCAAATGTGACTGCTGGGGTGGATCCCAGCACACCAAAATAATCACAAAGAACGGTGTGTAACATAATTCATTTTTACAGCTGAATGGATGAGTGAGACAATTCGCAGGCTGTATGTGACAAGATTATTTAGTTCCTAAGCAGGGGAGTGCTCAGAGGCTTTAAGAACTTGCAGGTCATCATATTGAGTAGTTTGGATAACAGAAGCTTTGGGTTTGAGTGTTGCTTCTCTATCAGATATTGTTATTTGCTTGACATTTACTCATTTGCCTGGTCACTTTTTCTGTAATTATTTTAGGTTCCAGAATGAAAGATCATCCTCGTCCAGGGGTAAGCTTAAAATTAATAAATTTGGGGTGACTAGATGGCTCAGGGGATTGTAGTGAGATACTGAACCTTTCTTCACTAGTTCGAATTCAGACCAGGTTGGTAGCAAGCAAAAGTTCTGGCTGTGTAACAGATGTCTAATGTGGAGTGAGTTGGTGGTCTTCATTGTCCCTATTGAGTGTGTCTATAGTACTGTAATTGCCACCCTTACCTAACGGCTACACTGATTGTTGTGCCCAAATGGAATTTCAAGGGCTGTCACAAAAAGGTGGTGGATGTGAAGGGAAGTTTGGTGTTCTTTTACAATGCACTTTCACGTGAATTTATAAAGACGTTTTGCTCACCTTAATGAAGATGCTTTTCATTAAGCTGAGTGCAAAATACCATTCAATTTTTTTCATCTAGGTGGCCTATAACAAACACTAAGGGTTTGGGTATTTTTCCTATTGTCTTTTACACCAGAACCCTTTAATTTTTAATTCAGTGTTATTTAATATTGAATTCCCAGCTATATTGATGCTGCAGTCTTGATCTTTTTATCTTATTTTCCTGTAATGCCCCTTAATTTGCTGAGACCGTCTGAAAGCCGAATGTCTGTCTTTAGGTAACACAGAACAAATGGAAAAGCACTTTGTTAAAGAAGGCTTTTCAGTCAGTTGCTTTGAATTCTAGAGTAATCGTTCCTAAAGCAGTAATTTTCACAGGCTTAGGCAGTGCTTTCTGGTGATCCATGAATGTGAACTGCCTGATTGCTGGCGTTCTGCAGAAGCGAGTGAAGAGGCACATCTGAAATAGCAGTAAAATCTCCTTGTAGCAGGGGAGCATGGCGAACACTGTCACTCCATTTCTTGGCTGGCAGCCATCATTTGAGGCACATTTCCAGGTCTCCTCTTCAGTCTGGAGCCTGAGACCCAGCTGTCGAAGAAAGATGGTTTCTAGCAGTGGGGAGGAGAGCTGAATGCAGATAGGACAACAGAGATTTATTACTTTCTCTCCTTTGCTTTTTCTCATCTATTTTAATTTTAAGGAACAGTTTTCTGATGATTGCTCTCTTATTTATGAAAGGAATATAAGTGTGTAGAGAAAAAGGAAAGGTTCACAAAGTTAACTGTTACAAGAATGAGCCAAGAAGTGTATTACAGATACACTTCTTCCAAAACACTTGCCTTTGTATGACGTACATGTGCTTACTTGAGAATGGAAGCAGTCAGGGCAAGAGGAGATTTGTTTTGTTTAAAGTTAGTTTTTGGTTGTAAGTAAGCTTTGAAATGGAAACATCACAGAACTCCATTCTCTCCATGAGCTCATCTCTTTAGGCTGCAGCAAGGATTTCACAAGTAAAGAAATAGGCACAACTTACATGGTAGTGAATACTGTGTTATTCTCTGAATCAGAGACAAGAATGAAGTCAAAAGAAGTTTCTAAAGCTTAGTGGTAATTGGAAATCTCAGTCACTGAAAATAGCAGAGGGTCAGATACGGAGGAATTCAGGTGCCAATAATTCATGCCCATGAACTTCTGGAAGTTATGGGGACCTAGTGAAAAATGAGGTGGTTTAATATGTGGCTCATTTGCATTAAGGGCTGTTCAGCATATATTGCTATTCTTTGAGGCAGTAAATAGGTGTTATTTTGAAAGTATACTTTGATTCTGTGTAATCTAAAGACTATGGAAGACGTAATAACAGTGAAGTGCTTCATTTTGACACTGGGGCACACTCACAAAACACTGCTTTATCTTCTATTGAGCCTGAGAGGGGGAAAAGGGGCCTCTTTTGCAGTCTGCCATCTTAACCCATTACTGGTGTTTTTTAATCCTTAACATTTCTGTAGATTGCATGCGGTGTTTCTGATGGGTGTCTGCCAGACTAAACACGCAACCGTGGTGTATTTCCTTTTGAGAAACACTGTTGGAATACACTCCCTTGATTGCATGGCTACTATTCCTTTTAGTCATGCTGCTTTAGTACTAACCTTGGAGCACCTCACAGGATAAATCAGTTAGGTGTTAGAGCTTGCAAGTAGTATCTGCATGCATTTTGCTGCCACCTACAGGTATTTCATCGGAGATAAACCATATTCTGGGGGAAAAAGTGAATCTGGAGAATGCAGTTACTGGTTGATGTAATGTCTTTCAGAAGCCTAGTCATGAATTTTATTAACGTCCAGCTTTCTTCGTTTTCATAGAATCACTACTTACTGTATATGTCAATTAGAGTAATTTAACTGTGGCGAGCCAGAAGTAAACATGAAGGCTTTTTATACATATATATATTTTTAAATGTTTTGCAGAAAGCTGTAGAAGAACCACTAAATGGTAGGTGATATTTAAGGCTTATCTTCTAATTAAGGGATTAAGTATGGAAAAAGGTCACAAAATAATTGTAGCTCTCAATACAACAGCACTGAGATGGCAGATCGGTATGTCAACTAATGTGCTTGCGTGTGTTAGTGAGAGTTTGATCTCCTGATAAAATTATGCCTGCAGCTCCAGACTCCCTGTTCTAACGCTGCTGTGCTTGCTAGCCAGTGGCACTGTTTGACTGCTTTAGGCCCAATCTAATACCAGGATATTATGTCCATCCGCTTTTCTTTGCAAGAAGTTCGACTTCTAAGTGGAAAAGAGGCACAGGTCTTGAAAGTTGATGTTAATTCTTCTTCATAAGCATTTATCTTGGTGGAATGCTTATGATCATAGCAAAATTTATCCTTGTCACTCTGTTCTTCTCATATTGCTTTGGGTTGGGGAAACTCCAGCGTGGTGTTGGGAAACTGATAGTGCTTAAGATTGGGGAAATTAATATGGGGAAAGAGACTGAATGTTATTTAGCTTTTTTCTTTTTGCTATTCTCTTCACTAATTGGCATGCTGAGTAGTAGCAAGTGCTAACCTGAATTTTATAATTAATCTGAATATTAATTATGAAGCATTTCTTGCTGTTTTGCTCATTACTAACCCATTTGCTTGGCTTTTAAAGATGCAAAAGGAGTGATGTTAGAATGATGGTAAGTCCAAGTATATCTCCAGATCCTTGTTTTCATTAACATGTACGTGGGGCTTTTGATGTTTGTACCAGTACTACTAATATGATAGCATTTGAAGGACAGGGTTCAGTGCAGGTACTGTTTTTATTCAGCTTATATTTCACTGAAAAGAAAGAATACATATTGTCTGTATTACGCATGGGAAAGAGCGTGTGTTTCTAAGCAGTGAAGAGGATGAGTCAGAACTATTAAATAGTATGTTTGTGATCAAATGTGGGAAAGTCAAATAGTTTGTATGCTTTAAGTATTTAAGATGGATGGTCTGTTTCCTTGGTGGTGAGTTGTGGTTGGGTTTTGTTTTGGTGGTAGTCTTTGTTGATGTTAATGTAACTAAGGCTTCTCTGTGTATTTAATTGGCGATCTCCCATGGAAGTTCACAGGAAAGGGGGTTGAAAGTAGACTTTCTCTACCCCTTCCCCCTGTAGATGTTATCTACATTCTCTGGATTTTGTTAGATTGTATTACAATCAGATTTCACTCAATTTTATTATTTGTTTTAGGGTCAGATAGGAAGTGTTTAAAAACAAACAGAGCTTAAGCATCTTGATTAAAATTTAAGAACAGCTTAAATAAGTTCAACTTCTGTTTGAGAAACCTGCATTCTGATCTTCTAATGGAGCACTGTGACTTCTGCCCTTTGGATATTCTGTATGTTTAAAGATCTACCAAGCACAGTAATCAGAGATGTGTTATTTCAGTGTCCTGGCCTAACTTAAGCTTTCTTCTGATTGAAACTGCCCTTAATGCTGGGATTAGGCCTTTTAGATTTTTCTAATGGCCTGTAAGATTGCAACATGTACTACAAGTAGACTCCTCATTTATAATACTCCATGAAATGAGAGGGACTGTGTTAACTTGGCCCCAGACTTCCAAGCTGGCACCTAAATTGGGTAGCCAGGCTTGCAAAGTTTCTTGCTTCCTGCAGCTCATAGCCATCAAAGAGTAGCAGAATTTGCCTGGCCACATTGCTCTCATTGAAGATCTTGTATTCTAGATTAGATGCTCAGGTTTAAAAAATAAAAGTCTTTTATTGATTCTTTTCTATTCAGAAGCTGTATTTCTTTTTCATGGGAGTAGGATAAAAGAGCACTTGTTGATGCTGTTGGTATTTGGGTTTCTTCCTGGAAACTAAGCTTGTCATGAGGTATCCCTAGACCCTTAGCATAGTTCTCCTGCGTCAAGTTATGATGTTTTGCTTGTCAGGAGTAAAGTCACTCTGAATCTGTTACTTCAGAGTGTTAATTTGCTTGATGTATTTTTATATCATGCCACTTCTGGAAGGCATGAATTGACGATGTGACAATAAACGAGGTATGAGTTAGACCTAATTGGGAAAAGGTGCGTTAGTTGATGTTTTAAAACAGGCTTCCCTACAAATAGCATGGGTTTATGTTTCTATGTGATTCTTCCAAATACTCCATCGTATAATTTTCTAAACCAATAGGGATGCAAGCACTTTTGCAGTTTCTCCTAAATGTGTTGATAAATGTATACCACTTAGTGCAATGGGGAGTGGGAGGTAGGTCCTGCTTGTTTTTCTAGGCACTGGCTTGGGATCAGGAAGCAAATAGGTATTTGCCAGTCTATTGCATTGAAAACTGACCAGAAGAGAGATAAGTATGGGATCAGTACAGTTAGCACATGCTGAAGAACAAGGTAGAGTTTTGCTTGGAGATCCAGTTTTAAGTAAGTTGACTGTTTCTTCTTAGGTCTCGTTTAGTCTTATAGAAACATGCCTCTTCTTGTAGTGCTGAGGTGGAGCTTCCAAAAGCCCAGGAATCACTAATTTTCCATTTCATTTTGACCTTTAGGGTGGGGTTAGAAATCTGCTTTTTGTGCCCTGAAAGATGGCTCCTAAAAACAACAGAAGGTTTTGCAGATCAGAGGCATGGGCTCTGACTCGCAGGCTGGAGGCAAGAGCCTTCTGAGCTGAGCTCTACCCGCTTTGTTAACCTTCCCTTGAAAGCTCACACACACACACTGAGGGTGGAGGTGGGTCAGATGCTGAAGCACACTAACACAGAAAATAGTGTGTGAAAGCGAACCAGCGTTAGGAGTGAAGACAGGATGGGTCAGACAGCTAAATCTGGGAGCTGCTACAGCTGATTCCAGGTCGTGAGTCGGAGCTCCAGGACAGCATCCGCTCTTTCTGTTGTCGAGAGGCTGAAACATCGCTTACTGTTAGTGCCATTCAGCATCAGCGCTGAGTGTGCTTTCGGAGTTTGTGATAGAAATAGGTCATTTTGTAAGCTGGAAGCACAAAATGTTGCTGCCCTTCCCAGACAATCTTTCTGTCTTTCTTTAATTCACAGAACTGCAGAGCAATGTGATACATGAAAAGTACACCGTTGTTGATACACCGTGGCCTTGAAGATGCACTACTCAACGAGAAGAAATTCAGGAAACTAGTTGTTTTGCATGTGTGGCAAAAGTGCTTTTGATATAAATGAGGTCATTTTATAGTCACAGCAGCTGTAGCAAGGAACATGTGTGTTTGCCCACACGTGATCTTTCCTTCTTTTGTTATGGTATACGTGGGATGTTTGAGGGTGAGCATATGAAAAGCACTGTTTGCCCACTGCAGGGTCTCCCTGCAGGAATCCTTAGTGGTATTATTTTCAAAAGCTATCATTAGTCACTGCTTTGATAATGGGCCTGCTCGGCCCACAGATTGCAATACCATTTAGACTATTGTTTTCCTTATTTGTGTGCATGGGCAAGGTATGGTCATACGTCTATGATGCAAGCAGGAAATCAAGACTGTACAAATACATCTCTTTTCTGACATTCAGCAAGACTTTTATATTAAAAAAATAAATGCTTATACACAAAGTTCCATCAGTACAAAGTTTACTCCCAGCTCTCCTTAAGTTAGTAACTGGGTTCTCCTGATTCCACAAAACAGTAGTGTTCCTCTCTATGGACAGTAGTCGTGTGTGCTCTGGTGGCCAATATTTTAGTCCAGTGAGAGAGTTCTCTGTGCCTCTTCTGTATTCTTTGATGAGAAACTGCTCAGCTGTTGGAGCCTAATTCAGCACTGGGATTATGGAGCACAGCAGCTAGTAATTTTCATGCTGAATGTGGTTCTTGTGTGTGTTCATGTCGTGTGGTGTGTGGTACTGGAAGCAACTTCAGGCTTTCTTAACTCAGTGAATTTGTAAAAGTCATGGATGCTTCATAAAAATAGGAGTTGTCCTATTTAGTGTATATTTGACAAGAGTTTTAAAATCTTGTTTTGGAAACCAGGAGCTATTTCATTTCTGACCCAAGTTTGTGATGCTGCCGTTATATCACAAATAGATAAAATAGAAAGTAAGTAGGAGGAGCTGATGGGAAGCGAGGAGGCTCAGTTTCTGTATATATGTAAGTGGTACAGTTAAAAAAACATTTTTTTTTCTAGGACTTGCACATTCCATGAGATTTTACCACGTTTTATAACTGTTTTGAGAGCTGTTCCAATGCAGTTGGCTTCTCTTGGGCTTCATGTATACTTTGTAGAAATCTTGACGCTGTCTCCTTTTCATACTAAGGGAATATCTTTCAAAGGCACACACAGTTTTCTCCTCCTAACAATTAAAAACTTGGTTTGGAAAGCTCTTACCAAACAGTCATGTGAAAAAAAAATCCATGTCTTTAAAGATTTTTGAGTAATTTGGCACCTCTGGATGTGGATGTTACGAGCTAAGGTTCATATCCACGTTTGGGTGCGTGTTGCAGGGGTTCTGGTCTCTGCATATTGAGCTCCAATCTGGGTGCAGACACCTTGCATCAAGAATCCAACAGAATAAAATTGAGGTATCTGGTTGTACAACACTGACTCTCATGAACAGCCCTCTTGCTAGGGCTGCAGGAGTGAACAGCTTAAAGCAGCCCACGGTCCAGCCCTTGCTCAAGTCAGTGGAACTGGCCACAGTGAAGAGGGTTATTAATGTGATAAAATGTTAAGAAGCGTGTATGATTTACACTTTGCTTTCATGCCTTTAAGTCTGTCAGTGGGAGTATTCATCTAAGATTTGAGCTCCTGTGTATGAATCTTGATACAGACTTTTCCATAATCACAGCAATCACTACCTAAAGAAAGGGAGATTACTCTCCATTAACAATTCAGTATCAGAATTGACCTGATTAAGTACCATGCAGAGCTCCCTCTTTATAACTAGTGATTTCCTCTGGCGAGCTGAAAGTTGAGCAGTTGAGGAATAAAAACCAAACCAACTGGAATTATATTGTGGTATTCTGCCTTATAAAAACCATTATGTATAATAGCTTTATGTTAACTTCTGTAAAGCAGACTGCGCTAGAACCTGTTTGTGTCATGGTGGGATGAGGCCGAGCTGTTACTAAGCGTTACTGAAACAGGAGGAGCTCGATGGCTGGGTACAGGCTGCAGGAGCAATTATTGCCCCACAAATGGGAGAAACCCACTGTCCTGTTGTTGTGCTAAGGGCTCTGCTCTGGATTTCACGTGGGTACAGATGTACAAGTGAGCGTTTAAGAAGTCACTGATAACACCCAGCCTTTTCCCACCAGTATTTTCAGACCAAAGTTGTTCATAACTGTATGCTTCCATTCGTGAGTGTACGTGTGTATATATAAATATATAGACATTTTAAATATCTATAGCTCTATAGTCTTTACCCAAGAAAATGTTTTTATTTATGAATCATGAAACAATTTTGTAAATATTGTGCTAATATACTTAAAAAAATAAAGTCATTTTAAGTTGTTTTTGTGATTTTTCTTGTTGCTCTCACACAGCTGCTCTGTTTTTCCCTCCTTTGTACCCTCTCTGCCCATGGTTTGCCTATCGGAATGTCTTCAGTGTAACTTAGCCTGCTGCAGAGGGTTTTGGCTGGGGGTTGTTGGTGTTTCTCCTTAAAATAACCATCCAGTTGGGGGAAGAAAGGATGTAGATTGCTCTCTAATAACTTCTAATTGGGCTGACCAACTTCATTGTCACCCAGATACGCTGTGGGAGGAAGTATGAGCTGAGGAATAACCAGCTCCTTGCATGACTTCAGACGCAGCACAGCAGTGCACGCTTCCAGTCAAGTCTTCACAGTGGTGAAATGATAGATTCCTGTGAGAAGAGAGTTTCTTGTGCTGCTGCTAGAACACTGCTGCATAGCTTCCAGATTTTCTGTGTTTGACATCTATTTGAGCATGGAGAGGTACAAGAGGAGGCTGTGAGTCCTGTCTGAAGTGTTTCTGCTTGCACATCCTCTTCGGTGGGAACAGTTACTAGCAATTCCCTTCTTGTTCGGGGTGATTTGAACCATGGTTCTTACCAGGATGTCTTTTGTGATTTCCTTACACAGTTTCCTCTGTGCCATGAGCCACAGTTCAAGCTAGGCAATGTAAAAGCTTCAGCATTCTGCCGTGTGGGGACCTAACTGCAGGGTGAACTGCACACTTCAACTGTGGGGTGAGAAAAATGATGCTAATCTAAATAGAAGTGGTTGGAGAATGTCTCGATGGATTCGCATCCGGTATCCCTAATTTAGACTGTTCCGATCGGTTAAGCCAGGAAAACCAACCCAAACCTGAAGTATCATGTCCAGAAGCATTTTGAAAGAGCTTTACTTCTTTAGACCTCCATAACTGAATGCTGATGGCTGTAGTTGCCCGCCTTGTAGCAGAAGTGGGCATCCTCTGGTTTCTTCCATTTCACTGAAGAATTTACATGGGTTTTTTGGTCCACTGGATAATACTTCTGTGCTTAGTGTTGTGTGCCTTGCTCATAGATACAGCCAGTGCTGTCCTGGAGCTCAGTCCATCTTGCTTCCTATATTGAGGGCTCTTGAAAAGTGCATGAACTTGACCATCTCTTGCTGCCTTGTTGGTTGCTGACCATGCGTGTTGCAGAAATCCAGCAAGGGTCCTCCCGTGCTCCAAGCCCTGCACCCGTGTGCCAGCACTGGTGACTGGCTTTTACAGCCTCTGTTTCTGCCCTAACTGGGTTATGGTGTAAGGGGAAGGAGTCACCAGAAGGTGCAGGGAAAGGGCAGAACCAGATCATGTTTCAGTGGATCGATGCATTAGCAAGGAACTTTAATGCACAAATGTAAATGGCATAGAGATGAGAATCACCTGCACTGGGGGAGGAGAACTGCAGTTCTGGTTTCCCTCAGTTCTTTTGCTTGCTGACTTGTTTTTCAGAGCTGCAGCAAGGAGGCTTTGGGGATTACTGGGCTGGAAAGTGGGTGCAGTGGAGAGAGACTGTCATGGATACGCGGATGGTTGGTGAGAGAAGTACTTGAAGGAGCTCGGGAAGGGCAGATTTGCTGCAATGGTGTGGCTGGTTTCTCCAAGTTCACTTGTACCTTTGGACCCTTCAGGAGTTGTAAGTCCAATTACAGTACTAGCTTCTGTGTGTGACCAACCCACTGAGCTAGTAGAGGTACTGGGGGACGTAACACTTGTCATGTGAAGGCAGTGTGCTACCTGCGCACTGCAGCGATGCCACTTGGGCATAGGAGCCCTAAGTGGTGTTAGGGTAAGGTCTGGCACACCTTTGCCTTGAGTTAGAAATGGTTTAAAGTGTTGAACTTTGCCCATCATTCACAGTTCATGTGCTTGCAGGTAGGGATGGTTTTGAACCTCATTGCTGTAGCTAGCTAGGTGTGTCCCCCCCCTTTCTTTTAAGCTTGCACAATGGGTAGGTGCAGTTTAAACTGGTTACCAGAGCTGTGTTAAAATGAAGAGTGACAACATTTTGAGAGCTTCTGCCTTAGGGTCAGCTTGTTGGTAGTTCATTTGGTTGCATTCAGTTTTAACTCTCCTTTTTGCCTTACCGAAGTGCAGCAGGAATTGCTTTCAGAGCAAGAGGATTTGCTCATATCTGGGTTTTTTTTGTGGGAGGGGGTTGCTTTGGTTATTCTTTTCCCCAGTGTAGGAAAGCAGTATTCCTTAATAAATCAGATATAGGCAAAGAACCCAGCAGAAATGCACTCTCCTGTTGACCAGAAGCTTCCTCCAAGCACAACCCCTGAAAAGGTCAAACACAATAGAAGGAAGGAATATTTAGGGTCTCTCCATTACAGTCAATTTGAAACAAGTTTGAGCATAACCAGTCAAGATCAAGTTTCACTGAGGCAAAAAGAGGGGTTGGAACTGGATGATCTTAAGGTCCTTTCCAACCCTAACTGTTCTATGATTTAGGATTCTGTGGCATCTCTTACAAGTGGAGCTCCATAGCAGAAAGAAATGGATGAAGAAGTGCCGTGGTGGACAGACCTCTCTCTGCAGGTACTGAGAGTCAGCCTAGGCAGAACTCAGTAGTTTTGATTTGGCCTGCATTAAGAAACACTGAGAATTTAAGGATTATAATAAAATGATATAATTAAAGGAGCCCAGCATGGAAACGGAGGCCTCTGTCTCCTGCACTGCAATTATAAAACAGTGGGTGTTTTGGAAACAATCCTTTTATAGCTGGAGTTACACAGTTCTGAATGGAAATGTTGCAGCAGGTACATCAGGTTTGGCTGGCGTAGAAACACAAGCAGGTACAGCTGTAGGAACCCCAAACGGCCTTCCTGGTTCCTCCTCCTGGTATGTATATACCTTCCTGGTATGTAGGTAGGAAAAGACAAGTTACTTCTTGGTAGACTGAGAAAGCTGAACAGTGCTGTGATGCTGTTATTTAATGTGAGGATGTAATGGAATGTGGATGAAAAGGATTGAGAGGAGGAGGGCAGTTGCTTTTTCTCTGCAGGACCCCTTACCTGCTGTCAGTGGAGAGCTTCATCCCAACAGAACAAGGCAGGGCAGGGGGCACTGGGCCCTGTTGCCTTCCTCCTCCTGGTTTGACCTCCTTGGGGCCTTGACCGGAGCTCCCACAGCAGCAGTGTGGCTGGTCCTCTCCCTGCAAGAGGTGGGAAGGGAGCCCCAGCCTAGCTTTGAGGAAGAGGAGCGGTAGGGATGGATGTTTGGAGGAGGGTCCAAGATCTGCCACCCTTACAGCTATGGTTATTCAATAAAGGTGATGCCTTGATACCACCATAGCCCTTTCAGGCTGCCCTTTACGCTACCCTTTTTCCTCATCCCACCTCTCCAGTGAATGATAGAACCCAAATAGCAATAGAAAGTTGCATAATTAGAAAAGAAATAAAAATCAACAAATAACTCTGGGCCATGAGGCTGCTTTTGGCATTTGCAATGACAGCACACCAGAGCACCAAAGCATAAACAGCTTTAAATGTCACACTGAGCATGAAACGAAGCTGATTACAGCATCAGTAAGGAAGGATGATTAATGTATGATGTGTCATGACCATGCCAGTCACAGTGAAGGTGATGGAGGAGAAGACAGTGCCTGTCCCCCAGGGCCAGCTAAATGAGCTACATAAACCCCATTGGAGACAAGTGTGAGCTCTTGAGAGGCTCTGCATGACCCATGTCAGGAAGCCAGGAGGGAGAAAATGCTGGAACAAAACAAACAGCACAAGGGATGAGTCCTGTGCCAAAAGGTACAAGACGCTATTCATTTATTTACCAGCAGCACAAAAACACCCTCTTCATCACACGCACTTGGTGAGGGGCTGCTCTGTGCATGAACCTGCTTTTGATCCAGACTGCGGCTTCAGGCTGGGAAACCCAAATAGAATAACCCTGGGACACAGTGGGATCTGCCAGGCTCCAGGTGAGCAGCAAAGAGAAAGCACTGGGAGCTCACAAGGCTTGAAGAAGAGCCAACCCTGGCAATAGGGAGGAGGTGAGGGAGGCTTCATCTGCATCTTTTCCATGTCAGGCTGGTTGGGAGGTTGAGGAAGGGGGTCCCATCAGCCTGAAGCAGCTGTAGTTGGTACAGGTGACCAGACTAAGGGCTAGGCTTTCTCCTGCCTTTAGCACAGTGCAGTGCTGCTCCAGCACCTTTAACTTCCCAAGCCATCCTTGGGCCCCTTTGGTAGAGGACAGAAACCTCCATCTTACTGTGATGCTTACCCCTGTTGTTTGGCATCGCTGGTTCAGCTCAGGTTGGTTTCAGCCTTCCCGAAGAGGGGGAACGAGACTGGTTGTTTCGTCCCAAAGCATCCCAGCATCTCAGTGTCGCATCTCAGTATAAATGCCTTCATCTGAAAAGTGACACGCATCCCCCACCTCCTCCCTAGAGAGTGATGCTGCAAGTGCTTTGCCAGGCTTACACTTCCCTTGGATCCTGTAGTGCTAGGGAAACGTTAAGCCTGCAGAACAAAAGGGGGTGTCAGAATCACAGGCCCTGAGAGTATCACCCTAATAGGCTGTTCATGCCAGCTTGAAGACCTTGGGAACCTTTTGCTGGAATACTGATCTCAAGAGGCACAGTTTGTACCAGGGGCTGATACGTGTTCTGCTTTGGTGAGGTGCAAATGATATGCACACACACACACACACCCCCCAACGAAGCAGAAAGGGAGCTATTTTGTGGGTTTTCTGTTAACTTTACCAAGCCAATCAGTCTGGGGGTAGATTCTGTCTTTTAATGAAGCAAATGTACATGCACTTGCTGTTGTAAGCTTTAGCATGTCATTCCTGACCGCGGTGCTCCCTTAGATCTGAAAGGGACCCAGTTAAACAGCAGCTTTGCCAATAGGGAGATTTTTAAAGCCATATATGCAGGCAGCATTCGTATCTCGTTGGAGTCTGAGCATCCCTAGGCGACTGGTGTATAACTCAGCACCATGCAGCCACTCACTCAACCCTCTCGTCCACCCCCCCAGGCAGGATTGGGAGAAGAATGAATGTAAACC